GAAACGGAAATAAAGCTTGAAAATATTAAACTGGTAGTCGAATAAATATTGTTTGGTTTCCAAGGGGGAAGCACACTGTTTGCATTTAATTTGTTTACCATCAAAGTTATTGATTTCACACTTTCGCACAATATTGTTAGCTTTAAATGTGGTGCAAGTATACTTTTCATCCTAGCGTAAAACCTGACGATTGCTTTGATGTGTGTTTTAGGTAAATCATGTTTAAGTGTCCTGATATTTATTGACAAAGTATTCCACACTTATGCATTCCATAGTTTGTGCTTCACTCTGTGATCATAATATAAGACACATGACAGTTTAGAGTGTAGGAGTTTTGCCAACGGGTATCAAGTAGAAAGGGTCCCCATCCGTGAATTCCTCATACTGCGGAGTTTTGCCAACGGTTGTGGGTTGCGCGAGTGCGAGAGGGGGGAGGGAGAGAGAGATATAACATGGCACCGTGAGGGTGGCTTCCGCTAGGGGTGGACAAACCAGGCAGGATGCTGACTGTGTTCAAAGTAATGCAGTTATGCACCTCTGACTGTGAAAGGAAATGTATTGAATTTTTAACCTAACCTAACCTAACCTAACCTAACCTAACCTAACCTAACCTAACCTAACCTAACCTAACCTAACCTAACCTAACCTAACCCACTGCGACAAGCGCATAACTGCCAAGCGTAGACAGCCCTGACAATCGCTCTCCCTCCCTCCCTCACACCCTTTCTCCCACCACCACCGTTGGCAAATCTCCGCACCAAGAGGTGGCCGAAGGCATCCCCCCATCTACCTGACACCCGTTGGCAAAACTCCGGTACCCGACAGTTTACAAACAGGTTCAGTTAAAATTGTTTAAAGGTTGGGTAAGCAACCAGAGACGGATAGTTAATTACAAACTCTTCTATGAACCGGTGCAAAAACATTCATTAACATTGCTTTATTTACACACATTACATTATGCACATTAGCCAACATTACTTTATGCTGTTTCATAAGGATAATACGCGTACACGCGTACAACCGTACATCTGAGGGAGTACTGTAAATCTACGGTCATGTATGAATTTCAAGTTTTGGAATTAGTGATATTAATGATCTTTAACACTTTAGATGGTAACTAATATTAATAGTTAAATATTCAAATCATAAAAAAATTGTTGTACAAAAATTTATCGTTTGTATAATCGAGGCTTGAAGTAAAAAGCGGCAAAATCTTCAATTTAACGAGAATTCCCTGTCATTTCGTACTATTAATATTAGTATTACGATTATTAAGCATAGTTCAACCCAAATTTATGTAAAACGAGTATCATTTTTAATAAGATCATTTATCGTTTTTAAACACGTCACATATGAATAAAAAAATAGTAACATAACCTCCTCAAATACAAGGCAATGGCGAGACGATACAATGTGGCAACGCCGCAATCCCGGCCTACTGAAATTGCTGTTGCACTGGTTCATAATGTAGCATCTGCGCAATGTTTATGTTTACACTGTTATTACCATGACAATAGACTGGTCGGTGCGACGTTGCCACACGCTAACACCACAGCCTTGATAGTAAACATCAAAACGTCATATACACGCAACAGAACGAAACTAACTTTAAAACTGTCTACAACAGGATGATCTACTGTGCGGAACGTTTAATCGACTACTTTAGGTGTGTTTTGGACCACTTGACCTTCAAACTTGGTCCAGCAAAACGTACGACGTTGTTTACTCAATCTTGATGACGTTTTCTTACATAAAGTATGTATTTCACAGTCGGGGTTTAGTTTAGTAGCCTCGCTCTGACGTCGCGCCTCTGCCAAGTCATCTCACATAAGGTACAATGTCACAAACTGTCTCAGGCGAGCCGTGAAATGGGATTCTGGATTCTCCGTAGATGCCATACAAATGTTCAACTATTTTTCTAAAAATAATTTTAAAGCCATAGTGTGATATGGCAACGCAAAACTGTAATGGCAATACATTGTTATGAGGCTTGCTGCTTATTTTGCTTATTTTAACACTTGCATGGACCTCGGTACGTTGTATGGAACAATTGACTACAAGTTGATACAAGTTCATTTAATCCTCATTTAAATTCTCAATCGTCTAATCAATTAATTATCATTTAGCCAGTGTAAGATTAAAATGGTCATACTTCAATCGATCCACTGAAACATTATGCTGATGTGAATTACTATAGTGAAACAACAAAAGTTATAGCATATTATATATTGTTATATATATATAGCAGAATATATTATATTGTATAGAATCTTTTATGTAATTTAAAATAGGATGGCACAAAAATAGATAAAGCTAGTGCACCTGTTGCTCGAATTCGAGCAATTTCAAAGTATTACAGGCGTTAAAAACGAATAGCAGACACAATCCAATGACTTAAAAGAGTAAACTCAAAGATGATGTAATCAATCACTCCACTCCAGTTATCGAAACTGGAAACGAACGCTCTTGTGTGTACAATATCATGTTTACTACGAACAGCTGTAATTAATACAAACTATTCGTCTGTTTAAGTAAACAAAATCGTTTCTTCATAAGAAATACATAGGGATTTTATGGCCTGTGGGGCAAAGCCCGAGGACTTTTATTACAGGAATTGGTGAAAAGGGGCGTCTGCACAAAAAATACTTAATTTTGACACATTGTTTGTAAAAATTCATCCATTATTAACGCAGGAGTAGTGTTTCGTAGAAATCACCTTCACGTATTATATACGTATATATGTATGTGTGTGTATATATATATGTGTATAAGGATGATAACCCGATTTTGAAAGCAGCACACTCTGTTGAGTACTCATTTATCTGTGATCGATTTGTTTAAATAGTACTACGCTGGTGAATATAGATCGGACAATAGTGGAAAGCATCAAACAAAAGAGTCAACCAGTACTATTACCATAATAATCAGTAAGTACTGCTAAATTTTAAGTAGCAGTGACGGAACACGGACACATATTATTGCTGTCTTATGTTCTTTGGTCCGTCACGCAGCCACTTTTTTCCTCCTCTTTCTTATAATCTTAAGACCAATTCTCGAAGAATAAAAAAAGTTTCACAAAATTCTGGCTGTTTCTTTTTTTTCCTTTATAGCAGACTCCCGCTTGGGCAACAGTAGCTCTACACCTATCCAGCCCACAGCTTGGTGGAGGTACCACCTCCTGGGCCTGCAAGCATATCTTTCAAGCAGGTTGAGCTGCTCGGTCTCATATTTACCTCACCTATTGGGACGTACGTGTTTCTACCAGCAAGGATACAAGATACAACGTCAATTGGATATACTGTACCAGAGCTGGACGACCTCCCTTACTTAGTTTAGTGGGTAGGTTAAGAACGTCGAAGAAAGCCAAAGTCATAGAACATGCTCAGTAGTCTCATCACCCACCGAAACTTTACGATTGAGTCAGGTCTAAGAAACAAAACCCAGTGTAGCTCTCCGAAGTTAAGAAGTGAGAGTTGATGCCAGATGTTGACCAAGGTACCGAACTCACCTATGGCAAAGTCGTGATGAAACACCTATAAAAGTGAAATTTCCCTAACTACACCTAACCTATGCATCAAACTTGTCAACAGTTCGCAGGTAAAGATGTCCAAAGCGCGTAGGCGCCTGTAGTTGGCCCAGACTTGGTACTTCACCTGTGCCAACATTTGTCCCGACTTATCGGGTCCAACGCCTCGTGCATATAGGCCAACCAGTACGAAACCGCATGAGCCACGTAGTTCATTGTCTGGCACAGCCTTGGCCTAATTGTTGGGATATCTAAATAAATAGTTAGGTCTCATACTGTGTATTCAAGAAGTAAGATATTGAAACGTTTCGATATCACTAGCTTTGCCTAGGACCACTGTTTACTTTAAGGGAATGCACCTAACAGTATGCCACGTAAACCACCGTTTCTTCTATAGCGATTTGCCTAGCAGAAAGTCACATAACCCAGTCTTCCTAGTTAGGAATTGGGTACACATATTACAATATTTAACATACACCATGTAAACCCTAAGGTTCACTGTTCCTTGAGTAGGATTGAGCTTACCAGGACAGTACATAGACTATCTTGTAAATATTACACCTAACAAAATTACACTTAAATCACCAGTCTTGTGAAAGATCTTACGTGACACAAAACGTCATGAAAGTTATCGTTCCCTACCTTCGCGTACTCCTAACAGAATATCACAGAATCCTGGTCAAGGATCTTAAAGAATCGTAATGGCTTTTTGTAAAGAAACCTTACAAATGTCCTCAATAGATTGTTTCTCATCCATGCGTCCACTTAATAAATGCCATGAAACCACGTTTTTTTTGTCTAGGAGTGTCTACAGAATGCCACGAAACCCCTTGCCTCTAGTCCAGGGGTGCGAACTCCGGGGTGTCACAGGGACCGCCCCGAGTATTTTGAGAAGGTCGGCTTGCGGGGTCGAAGCACTAGCCTATTTCCATCACCATCTGAAGCCTGCCAAACTGCCAAGCCGTCGTCCCGTCATGCGAATAACTTGACACTTGTTTGGCGTTTACTGTGTTTCTATACAAATCTGCTAATTGGAATAAGAAATTCTGGATCCAGCTGCTCTCGCTCATCTGACTTTTAATACACAGCCCTGGCTGAAGAAACAGCTGATCGTAGACATAGTAACAACGCTAGACTTTCATTAATTTTACCATAGATAAAAGGAATATTTTACATATCGTATTCACTTTCGGTTTAGAATAAGCATTTAAGGGTGCGTTGCTGTTTTAAAAGTGTTATTGATCCATTCGATCGAGGATAAAAAATAGTAGTCCATCGATTGTTTGTTTCCCTTGGCGAGTAGATGGAGGGTTTTCCAACATAGTTGGCAAAGCAAATTGCCAATGTATGCAACGTGTTATCTCATTGGCACCAACTACCTCTCAACAAATTCCACATTGACACTCGTGACAAAAGACTGTGTTGACGAAGTAGTAGTAGTGTCATGCTAATGCTGTGTTTTGTTTTGTTGCAGGGGTCATGGTCTAGCAAGAGTCCCGGCAGTACAGCCACAGACAAGGCTCCGGCCTCCTCGGTCAGTTCACTAGTTATGTAAATTGTATTGACGAATTAACTTTACTGTAGGTTAAAATTTGAGTGTTGGTTAACTAAAAAGAAAAAAAATCAATTAAACGCTCTTTATATTAACTAGACTATTGAATTTAAATAGTCCCTTTGACTGTATAGCATAAAAAGTATACAGTGTTATGGTGTATAGTCAATGGTAGTCTGTGTCAATTATGTATCTGCAATTCTAAAATGGTATATAGAAGAAGGGCAAACAGGTCCACGACGTAGGGAGTGGTGAAGGATGTAGTAGCATTGACTAATGGTATATTTGGATTCAGGACGTAAAAAACTATAGACTATATGTATATATAGTCAATGGTAGGAGGCTAAAGGTGAGCAGTGTGGAGTTTGGGAATAGATATGCAATACTAAACTGTTTTCAGAGCTTTCCCCGAGCGAAGCTCGGTCCCCATGTACTATGTATAATTTGCACATCAAGTCAAAGGTTTTTTTTTAGTAAAACACAATAAAGTTGATTACACTTAACTTAATACACGAATACAAATCGATAACATATAAGTTAAAGATTTACGCGAATCAACTAGTTCACATAACAATCAGCACACTAAATCCATTACAATCAATAAACTGATAATAAATAAATTATCTATCACAACAACAGACTAATGAACAGTTTCAAACAACAGATGTTAAATCATAACACGTTTCTGTTGGAACTAAACCACGATTTAGATTGCGAAACACAAGTCACTAACCCTTGTCTTGCTATTCTCGGCGTCATCCGATCAGCTGGGCTACAATCGCCTACACCAGCTGATGATCCCGGAAATTTTATTGGTCCAGTGTTGCCAAAATGAATTTGAATGTGGTTAATACTTCACTATGAGCTATGTGCTCTTGTGTTGTTATTTTGTGGTTCCATCGATGTGGAAAATATTTAAAACAGATTATTTTGTACATATTATTGTTGGCTATTGAATTGTTGATTGTATTTATTGTTATTTCCACCTTTAATTTTTATGCTATAATTGATGTTATATTTTAAGAAAAATAATTTAATTAACGTAAGGTTACACTACAAGTTATATAAAGACTACCAACTAAGGCCCCTCGCCCACTATACGATTTCGGTCGTACGACACTGTGTCGGAACGACAACATTTCCACAGTGAACCATTGGATCTTATGAGAGCTCGCCCACTGTACGATAATCTCACGACTACGACAAACTGTCGTGAAGCAGTCGTCCACTGCCACTGTGATCCACGACTGTCGTACGACTGTTTCACTCGCAGTGGCGTACACAATCAAATGGGCGCTCGCCCACTATACGATTTTTATCGTATGTCGTGCGTTCTCCCCAGTAGTCTTATATATACTTTTTGCAATTAACTCATACTTAGTCATTATTATAGTTGTTATATCACTTTGCGTATTTTTTATCGTGAATAAATATTTTTTACAATTCATTCATACTTTTTTATTATAATGTTTGATATATCACTTGGTCTTATTTTCCAACCATTATTTTGCGTAATTTTGATGTTCCTATTTATTTTTTACAATTAATTTGTTTATATTTTTCCCTATATTATGTTTAAATACTGCATCACTTATGAGTAAATATACCAAAATAATTATTGAAAAATGCGAGTTTGGCTATTATTATTGTATAATCTTAATTATTAATTATATTGTGTAAAAAAGTTTCACTAAAACATATAAATATATATTTTTGTAGATTATATTGATAAAATTAAATCCATTTAAAAACTAATCCAAAAACAATTAACATACATACTTTTTACCAGACTATCCCAAAACCCTATGATAGTTATGGTAAATTTAAAAACTTGTAAAATGCATGGACTAATATAATTTGAAAATTTCTTTCAATACATTAACTAAAAAATAATTTACACATAAAAATAAATGTTTCTTTAATGCTGTAGGCCTACATTGGCCACTATCGCTTAATCTACGCCACAGCATCCACATTGCAACAACACGTAACGGAATCATTGTTTTACTATTTGATACAGAACCACTGTTTTAAGATATTGCGCAACACACCCACACCTCACTCTTCCATGGCTACCGAGCAACTGGCCATTTATCCGACAAAGTGTCGTAAAGTGGGCGAGGACCACACATATGATAAGAATATCGTACGACACAGTGTCGTACGACCGAAATCGTATAGTGGGCGAGAGGCCTAAGCTACACTACCATTGATGAGACCTATACTCCATTCCACGTTCACCTTGCAATACAGGTCTGATGGGGTATAGCCTTACTAGATAATACTGCAACTTGGGATCTGGATTTTGACTCTGGTACATGCAAACTTTCTATGATAATAAAAAGTGTATAATACACAAGCGCAATGTACTGCACACTTAACCAGTAATCACACCATTGTGGCACCAAGTTTCATAAAATAATTGAGTTTATTTCATCAGCTGTTCGGGAAAGTAAATTCAATTGATCAAAATACTGACATAGTAATAAGTGTAGACATAACGTCAGGTAAAGCCATTAAATGGATACCTTTAGATGGCCCACCTCTAAACTCACAAGAATGGGGCGAAACCATAAAGAAAGATAGCAATATATCAAGGAAACTCGCTGATAAAATACAATTTGCACCCACATAGTAAAGTTTAAACTTAAAATTACATTATCTTTGAAAATTTTAGATAGCTCAACCCATCCAAAGTCTAAATAATGAATGATAAATAATGTTTAGTGTGTAAAGCATTACGTAAACAAATACCCCCAACGCAGCAAACCTGCAGACCAAGCGAATTCCATGATTAATTGATTTTCTTCAAAATATTTCATTAAACATATCAAACGTTAAAAATTACCTTACGGTATTTTTGAGCGGAGCGAGCGAAGTGAGCGAAGCTCTTATACAACGACTCTTATGCATTTCGTAATACGCAAACTCCTCCTAGACGGCTGAATCAATCGTTTTCAAATTTTGCATGGTGATAAAGACCATATCGGTGAGTGCCAACATCTATATGGCGTTGAAAAAGTCTCTCAGGAATCCGCCCCACTGGGTCTCAAAGTTTCAATGTAATCCTTATGGAAGCAGTATTTGACACATAAACAAAGACATATGATCAGCTGTTGACTTTTGAATGCAGTAGATAAAGAAATAGCTGATAGCATTATAAGCTTGGGGCCCGTGACGTATAAAGTGGTTTACGAAGTAGTAAAGGTGAGCAGTCTGGAGCGCTGTTGGTGAGTTGCGGCCCAAACATCATTTTGCGTACGTCTGGAGTATGGAAACTGTTTATGACGATTAGATTAAGGTATCTGCATTCCTAAAATTCTATGGGAAGGGAGGAAAACAGGTCCGCGACGTAGGAAGTGGTGAAGGTAGTAGTAAAGACGAGCAGTCTGGAGTGTGGAAACTGTTTATGACGATTATAGGTATCTGCATTCCTAAAATTCTTTTGTAAGGGAGGAAAACATGTCCGCGACGTAGGAAGTGGTGAAGGGAGGAGTAAAGGCGAGCAGTCTGGAGTGTGGAAACTGTTTATGACTATTAGATAAAGGTATCTGTATTCCTAAAATTCTATGGGAAGGGAGGAAAACAGGTCCACGACGTAGGAAGTGGTGAAGGAAGTAGTCAAGGCGAGCTGTCCGGAGTGTGGGAACTGTTTATGACGATTAGATTAAGGTATCTGCAATTCTAAAATGCTATTGGAAGGGAAGGAAACAGGTCCGCGACTTAGGAAGTGGTGAAGGAAGTAGTAAAGACGAGCTGTTTGGGGTGTGGGATCTGTTTGTGACCATTAGATTAAGGTATTTGCAATCCTATGATGCTATGGGAAGGGAGGGAAACAGGTCTGCGACGTAGGAAGTGGTGAAGGAAGTAGTTTAGGCGAGCCGTTCGGAGTGTTGGAACTGCTTATGACGATTAGACTAAGGTATCTGCAATCCTAAAATGGTAAGGAAAGGGAGGGAAAAAGGTCCTCGATGTAGGAAGTGGTGAAGGAAGTAGTAAAGGCGAGTTGTTCGGAGTGTAGGATCTGTTTATGACGATTAGATTTAGGTATCTACAATCTTAAAATGCTATGGGAGGAGAGGGAAACAGATCCGCGACGTTGGAAGAGGTGAAAGAAGTAGTAAGGTGACCAGTGTGGCGTGTGGGAACTGGAAACCGTTTGTAGCAGTTTTAATGTATCTGCAATGCTGAAATGCTATGAGAAGGGATGGAAGCATGCCCATGGCATAGAACATTGTGAAATAAGTAGTAAAGGCTAGCAGTACGGAGTGTGAAAATGTTTGTGGCAATTAGATTAACGTATCTAAAATACTAAAATGCAATGGAAAGTGATGAATACAGGTCCACGACGTAGGAAGTGGCTTAGGAAGTAGTAAAGTATGAGCATCAGCATAGTGTGAGATCCAACTGTGGCAGTTAGATTAATGTATCCTTAATACTAAAATGCTATGAGAAGGGAAGGAAACAGGTCTATGACGTAGTAAATGGTAAAGGAAGTAGTAAGGCTAGCAGTGCAGAGTGTCTTGGCAATTACAAAAATGTATCTGCAATCCTAAAATGCTATAGGAAGAGAGGGAAACAGGTCCACGACGTAGGGGGTGGTGAAGGAAGAAGTAAAGGTGAGCAGTGTTGAGTTTGGTAATGGATTAATGTATCTGCAATGCTAAAATGCTACGGGAAGAGACTGTAGACTGTTTGTTAAAATGATTACGAAGCACGAATCGATACATATTTTCTATACATGCAATCGTTTACAAACAAAATTACCAACTGAGTTGACAACAGCTGTTTTTTACTCCATAGAGGCTAAAAACTATTTTTACTCCCTAAAGAGTAAAAATGCTACTTTAGACCCGCAAAAAAACTACTGTTTTTACTGCCGTATGACAAAAACAATATAATATGAACCCTTGATGACTCCACTCCGCTCAATTTTGTGGATGCCTCTGCGAACGCCACCTAGTAGCACATTCGTATGTTTAAAGGTAAACAAAATCTTTCCTTCATGAGATATACATTGGGATTTTGATGGCCTGTGGGGGAAAGCCCGAGGACTTTTATTACAGGAATTGGTTAAAAGGGGTGTATACACAAAAAATAATTAATTTTGACACATCGTTTGCAGGGAAAACACAATTTTGTAAACATTTTAAAGACTTTCGGAGGAAGGGCCTATTCTAAAATTCTTGAATAAGATTCTGGGTTTCCTCTACATCTCAACAATTTTCTCTGCTCTCCCTTATAAAATAACTGCTACCTATGTGTGATATTTTTTCACGTTTTTCATAAGGAATAGTTCATATCCTCTTCATTTCATCTAACGTCGACTATTTGTTAGATAGCATGACTAATAAATTTATCTTTAAAATACTGTAGAATGATTTTTAAAATTTGGCAACGTTAATGGTATTTTCAGGAAGCACAAGTAGGTTAAAAGAAAGCAGTTGACCCTTGATCGGTTCGGAACGTCGGCGTAGGAGTTATCTTTAGCAATGTAAACGGGGCCAGACGTCCGCAGAACCACGCTATTGCGGGTAACGTAAGTAAACATTGGGCCAAACAGTAAACTATTGCCCCATGGTTATTCCAACCAGTCTAGAATATCATTGTGGTAGCTAATTCCTGTGTATTATGGACTAAAAATTATGAAAACAAGCATAGGAGTCAAAATACATTCATTTGGTCAATATCAGAAGTATTCACTATACTGCTGTAAAGACCGTGTATACTGAAGAAGGTAAACTTCGCGCACTCTATCAACAGAATTAAAAGTGGAATAAAAATGATAATACATTTGTAATCCCATGTTTATTGTAAACAAAGCAGACGTTTTTCAATCACAATGCATTTAAATGGTAGATATTTTTCATTATTTATTTTTTTTTTTTTTGTAGATTTTTGTCATAATCTGCTATTTTTGTCGACCCCCTAGTCCAAGACCTTTCATTTGACCCCTCTCCAATCAATCTGCGAGCTGTCAAACTATAACAATTTTGATTTAAAAAAATCGCTGAAACAATTAATAATATAGATTTGGATGGTACTTAGGTGAGTGTTTTCTCCAAATATGAGTGAAGGATGAGATGAGGATAACATCTTACGAGTGTAATACGTGAAACAGTTTTTGTGAACACAGATCCCCCCTTAATTGTGGGCCAATTTCAACGTTTGAGGTGTAAAAAAGTTCGTTTCAATTTGTAGTTTTGAAATATGGTTTTAGAATTGGAAAAATCTTACCCTTAAGGGTGCAAGACGATCCCAAGGGCCAAAATTTCCCCATAAGAATAAATTACATTAAACAAGTTTTAAAAACATAAGGCAGCTGTTTATAAAAAGAAACTCAGTAGCTTTTTGGGAGTAAATATTGATGTTTGTAGTATTCAAGAGGTTATATACCAATGTAAACTAATCAGTTAAGTTGGAAGAACAGAAAATTCCTCGAGTTCAAGGATACAACTAATAAGAGATCTTATACGTATGAGAAGATTAGAATAAGAGAGGACTGGTAAGGAATCCAGATACTCATTCACTTGGTGAGATGAATAATATTTGCCAGTACTTACTTCTATGCGACTTACTTTGAAAAAATACACGAAGAATATACTCATCGTGTTGTCACGGTTGTAAAGTAAACTTGCCTAATGTCAGATCAAATGAATACATGCCAGTAATGTTTGCTAGTGACACTGACAGATCGAGACAATTCAAAACCTTTAGTACTATAACAATGAATTGGCTATCGTAAGTTCAAGTAATAAGATTAACCCAAACCTTAGCGGGCCTTATGTTTTTATTGCTAAATTGCCAAGTTCACCCTTTATCGTGTCCATACCACATAGATCTATTGTTAGAAAGTCTCAATATTTGCTGATAGACCAATGCAAATTTTGACAATAGTGTTCACAATCAACGCTACTCGGAATCGAACTTGCAACATGTAGATTTGAAGGCGAGCACCATAACCGCTCGGCCACTGAGACAATATTGTGTTATTGCTACTTTGGTATTGCTTGTGGTTGACTTATGAGTTTTTACCCGGTCTTTCAGCAAAATGTTGCTAATATTAAACAACCGCGTACTGAGTGTGTCGCCATAAATAGCGCACAGACACTTGCTTACTGTTGCTCATTACCTTGCCCTTGGTCGAGTCTTGGAACACTTAAATTATAAATAGTCCATGAAATTATCTCTCCCTAACAATTAGTCATCAGGACAAAACTGTGTTGTTATTCCGAGGACTGCATTTAATGTTCCACAATATAATCGCCCTTTGTGAATTCACCTTTTAATTGGTGATCAGATTTGTAATGGTGATAGAGGTTTGGTCCGTTTTTTTTCACATTAAAACACGTTGGACGCTTATTGGTGGCTGTGAATTCACTATCCCAGAGTTTCGTATCACATCGTAGTTAGTCACACACAAAGCTCTTCCTAGATTCCTAGATTACCATAAAATATACCCAGTTCTAAAGACTTTTACTTATGGGTATAACAGAGAACCCTATAATACAACGGACTAGTAAAGTTATTTTAAACTTCAGTATGTTTCTAACTTCAGGTAAAACAGCACTAGTTTGAAAGCTCCCTAATGATTTAATCTATGATTTAGTCTAACAGCTTCGCACGGGACGGGCCCGCACCGCACTGGTGTCAAAGAGGTTGTGTCACTACTTGGTCGGTTGTTTTTATCAAAAACCACTGTTTATTTATTTTAATGATTTTTAAAAAATTCAACCTCTTCAAATCATAGGCCATAGGCCTAATTAGTCTGTCTAAAATTGAAAAATCTTCTACAGACAAACTAGACCTTTTACACACTTCCTTCTTATTTGCAAATTATCTAAGATAAACCAAATATATCTTGGTATGCAAGAGATAGCCACGTAATTGAGTTTTCAAACATTAGTGGCCGACGTTGTGGATGCCTTGCAGCAATCCATCTTCCGGGCAAACTACAATTCAATACAAAATGGTACAGTAGTTTAAAAATTTGTATTACGAATTGTAAGTGATATTGTTTAAGGCATAAAATACCAGTTGTAGTAAATAAGAACAATGTATTACCACCATGTAAATACATTGCGAATGTTTCAAATGCCATTGTATGTTTCAGCTGGACCGGAGTAGTCGCTATGGATCCACCAACCTCAAGACCTCGGGAAGCACCTCCTCAACCTCCACCTCCAGCTACCGACCCCTGACGGCAACCTCGGTACGGGATAGAGCCGCCCAGCTCGATACCTCACCCACCTCCGACAAACCGTCCATCAGGGAGAAGTACGCCAGTAGGAGTTATGGGGTGGACTCGATTCTGAGGAAGAGTCCCGAGCCTAAACCCGAGGCCAAAGTATCCACGTCAACCTTCAAGAGGTACGGGTCAGGATACAGCCCGACTTCAGAAACCCCGACCCTCAGGTTCGGCAGCACCAGCAGATTTGGAGGCCAAATAGCACGGAGTCCTATCACGGAAAAGTCCCCGACTGTCTTCGGAGTTTCTGGATACTCGAGGACGAGGGACTCTAAGGATGAGAAGGAAGAGAAAAGTGAAACTCCAACGGAGATGATGACCGTCATCACGAGGGGGACGTCGCCGACTCCTCCATCTAACTCAACATTCCTACGGGCGAGGAGGGCAGAGATGGACAGAACGATAGAAAAGACGATACCGAAGTTGAAACCTAGACATACTAAATATGACGTGGAATGTCAAACGGATGAAAAATGCATAGAGGATGCAAAATTAGAAAGTAAGTTGTCAGCAGCGAGTGCTCTGACCTCAAGGACTCCATCACCGTCATCGTCATACTCTAGATTCTCCTCGGTTAACACCAAATATACTCCGAGAACATCCGCCTATCACGGTACAAGGCCGACAGAGTTGAGTTTGAAATCAATGTCGGTGAATAAGGCTACAAACCAAGAAGACGCTAAGACGGAAGAAAGTCCAAAGGACGAAAAGATCAAGAGGTTAGAGGGTAAAGACACCACGCGAATAGGAGGTTTCAGTTACGCGAGGCCAACGGATCTACCAATGGCTTTAAACAAAGCGATGGCAGACACCGATAAAGGAGATGGGCTAGTATCACCATCGAAGATTAGGAGCATCTCTCCACAAGCTCCAAAATCTCCTAGAAGTAGTTTATCGGGTGATGATATAAATAAATCGTTTAAGAGTACGTTAAATAGAGCAAGTAGTTTAGATAGGTCTAATGAAGATACTTCAAAACATTCCATTAAAGGTGAGGTACATTCACCTAGCATTGCAACAATTCCAAAAATACCTTTATCTCCTTCGATATCTTCAGTCAAGCTGACATCACCAGACAGAACGAAACTTCCTCCCCCTAGTCCAAAAGTTGAATCTATTAAGACTTTACCAAACAAAGATTTTAGAAAATCCGAATTAAATATGAATTTATCTAGTTCAAATGAATCACTAAATTCTCAGAAACTAAAAAGTCAAAATGGGTTGGAACGGTCTCCCTCAACAAAATCTCCGGTAAAGCTACAAACAAGTAAGTCATTAGCAAAATTACCATCCAATTCACCATCTCCAAAACTGGTGGCATCTCCGAATCAGCTGAAGCCTACGTTCCTTACAACAATTAAAAAGACAGATACAACAGAGTCGAGCAGTGACGAATCTAGTTCAACAGGAAGCTCGTCCGAAACCGAGAGTGAGTCAAGTGAGAGTGAAAATGATGAGCCGCCAAATCTCAA